CTACACCGGGTCGTAAAGCATCGTTCCTGCAAAGGGTCGCAGGGGGAGTGATGATGCCCATCACCCGAGAGCAGACAGACCCGAGTCAATATTTTCATCCTACAGGTAGGGAAACTGAGGCACGCTCTGTGCAGGCAGCGTGCTGCGGCTTCACATCGTCCCTGCCCCTCCGAGGCACCCGGGATTATGCAGCAAAAGGAGAAGGTGCCATGGAAATGTCTTTGTTCCTATTTTTTCCTACTTTCCAGACACGCGTCAAATAGTTTCCCTTTTCTCTTGGACAAAACATTGAGCAAGGGTGGAACTGGGAAAGAAAAAAAGAGCAAGAGACTCCCGACGTGCTCTCTTCCAGCGCTGTCCTGACGGATGACACCTCCTGAAGCCGCCAAACTCAGACAAGAATTTAGCATAACACACCCCAAATGCCCGGGAAAGCAGCTCCTCTCACCTGGATTACAGCGGGCCGTTTTCTCTCGTGGAGGCCAGCTCTGCGTGAACCGCAGCATCCCCCGAGCTGGGGGTGGTGAGAAAAAAGGCTTTTGGTTTTTGGTGCTGCTGTTTTGCCTTTTTAAAACGCTGATCGCTGGGGTTTTGGAGGATGATGAGCGGAGCTGCCACCCCCGGGGCTCAAGACCTCACGGTGCTCGAGGGCTTTGCAGCCCGAAGCAGCTCTCTTGGGGCAGGGAAGGGGCAAACGTGCCGGTGGGGCGGTGACGGAGGGTGCAACGCTGCGCTCTCGGGGTGAGACCTGGAGCATCCCGGGCACTGGAGCACCTCAGCCGCCAGCAGCCTGCGGGGACGTTTTGGGGGGGGTGGTCCTCAGTCCTGGAAAAGAAGCAGAGATGCTGGGATCACAGCCAAGATGGGGATACAGGGACCAGGAGAGGTCTGAGGACCCCCAGGCCAGCCCACAGAGCCCTCCAGCACCCACAGGCAGAGAGGCTGAAGGCAACGACCGTCATCATCTCAACCTCCAACTGGGGATACTGGTCCGTGATGGGGACCACAGCTGTTTCCTTGGAGGAGCCCATGCCCACGCAGCCCCCGGCCAGACCAGGGCACAAGGAGGCTGCAGGGAACTCACGGGGGCTCGGCCGTGGCTGGAGTCACCCCCCCCACAGACGCAGGAGGGGGAGGAAATAATGCCTTTTATTTTTTTTAACACAAGCTTCTGTACCTTCTGTAAACAGCGGCCGCAACCCCTTTTATGTGCTAAATCCTGCTTTAAAAGCTGCCTTCACTGCCCGCCTTTACGGCAGAGGAAGAAAGCCCCGGCAGGGATGTGCAGAGGGAGCGGGGTGGGCGCGTTGGAACTTGCTTTGCTCGGCAGCTCAGCGCATTTTGGGACAACTGTCACCTCCCCACCACATCCACCCCACGGCAGCATCACCAGGTCCCCCCAGAGCAGGACGCATGGGGGGACAGCCCCAAACAAGCCACTTGCTGGTCCTGCTGCCAGCACCGGGACCTCCCTGCAGGAAGCCACCGGGGTATTTGACACCCAAGGACGGTTCATAGCCCAGAGCTGGTGCAAGGGTCTAATTTTTCACCTTCCTGATGGTTGCAGCTGATGAAATCTCCTCCTCAGGAAGTCGCTCTCCCCCCGTTGCTCCTACCACATCCTTTCTCAGCGGGTGCCCAGCACGGGCTGTAGCTGCATCACGTGCGCGTGGTGGCACAGCTGGGTTCCTGGCTTTGTTTGTAACTTCACGCGAGCAGCCAGAGATGTGGCAACCTCAAGCCATCCAAAAAAAAAAGGACTCAGGAGGCTGAGAAAGCAGCTTGCCCTGGGGATGGGGATAATGCTGCTGCTGGGGTTGCTCCCTCACTGCAACCCCACTTAGATCCGGGTGCATTTAGGGGTAAACCAAAGCACGGGAGGGTGCAGAGCCAAATCGTAGCAAGTGCTTAAGCACAAGCTTCATGTCAAGCATGAGAAGAGTCCCAGCCCTTCACTGGGGTTAGTCGTATTCAACGCAAATCCAGCCGGATCACAGCCTCGGAGCAAGGTTTGTTGAGGTAGCAGGAGCCTGGAGTGCAGGTAGATGCCCCTGGGCTTTGCAGAAGACCCTGTCTCTGACAGGTGACCAAATCCTTACTGAAATCAAGAACGACTCTTCCAAATAGGTGCTCTAGGTGTATCTTAAATATGTAAGTGATTTTGTTAAGAGCTGCCCCCACAGGGATAAGCCAAAGGCTCCTCCTGATACAGAAGCAGAGACTTGGGCAAAAGGGCACAGATCTTGGGCTGCCCAGCTATCAAACGCCTCTTCAATCAAAAACTACTTTTTCTACCCCTTGATAATTTGTTTGCAACAATCAATCACCTGCTTTAAGAATGGCAGGAACAAAAGCAGAGAACTCACAATTAATTGTATCAAACCCCCGCGCTAACGCCCCGTTGCGCACACAGAAACCTCCCTGCAGGGCGGGTGCCGGCCCCGGACCTTCAGCATCGCCCGAGGTGCTCACGCACGCGACCTCGAAGGATTTTTGTCTTTCCCGTTGCAGGGAACGTCCCTTACTGCACACAATGAAAATTTACACCTCGGCCAAAAGCTTTCCACGCAGCTCCACCTCCAAAGGCCTGTCTTCAGGTATTTAGGGAAGAAATGTTTCTCCCAGAGGGCTCACTAAACCCACGCTCACTTCATTAGGAGCAGCCTTGGCAGCCAGACAGCAAAAGCCAGACTTACTTTTTAAAGTCTTAGCCTAGACTTGATCATTTGCAGATTTTCTTAAAGGTATTTTTCAGCTAATTATCCCCTCTTAGCAAACATCTTGCCTACCCTGGTTTGCTTCTGTACTAAGATTAAGCAGCAAAAGGGATTAGAAATGTTATCATGAGAGCCAAAGATGTTAAAGCACCAAATGTACATAGCTGAAAAAGGCTTTTCCTTCTAAAGAAATTAAATATCACTTCCACAGAGCTTTCTCATGCTGCTGTAGTAATATGACATTTGATAAAGTCTGAGCCACTCACCAAGCCCTGACCCCTCTTAAACTCTATGGAAACATTTTGTGTTGAAAGCAACCCTTATGATCTATCGCCCTTTCATCTTTTTAATATGGCAGTACAAGTATCAAATGATCAAATTATACGGAATTACTTGCACCTATGAAGTTAACATCTAGCTGTGAGAACTGCTGGTGTAAGTATTGTTAGCAGTTTGAAATTTGCTAAAGAAAAGTTTTTGATAAAGCCATAACTAACCTTTTTTTTTTTTTCCCCAGACCAAGTAAGAACTCACAAAACGTGTTTTGCCTTCTATTTTTCCGAACATTGCTGGCAGGCAGAGTGAGGTGCTGGGGACGTCAGTTCTTCATTCAAAGCCACCCGTGCCACAGAAGAGCTTGTGGCAAGTTCAGTTTGAGCAGTTTGCTAATGGCCCACGTCTAAAATTGGGATATTATTCAGGAACATCTACAAAACTCCTGCTAGAAGCTGCCTGCCTTCCTCCCCCCGACCACGGGGATGCTGGGGACTCACCAGTAGAGCAACCCCCCCGCCCCCAGTGTTTCCAAACCCAGAGCTCCTCGGAAGCACATCCTGCACTTTCTTGTTCTTTTCCAAAGGTTCCCCCCAAGCACAGGTGTTTTATTAGGAGGAAAAAATGCTGAGAAGAGGCAAGCTGAGGCTCCAGCCTCAACTCCAAATTGCTCTGGGTGTAACTAGAGAAGCCGGACAGGGAAAGCGAGCGCTAGGGAATTTCAGTTAGATGGCAGAGCCCTCCTGGGCACTGCGAGTTCAGAGCAGAGGGGGTTTCCGTACAGCAGCTCCCTTCCAGGAAAGGGCCATATGCAAACTGAACCTTCCATTCAGGTTTGGAAATCCCCAAGCTACAATTCCCTCTGCATTTCAGGGGCATTAAGACAGACACTGGCTGCTTTGCCCAGAGCAAAGGCTGGTTCACGTTATCGAAGTCTGTAACGTCCTCATCCCGCCCGGGTCCGACTAACACCTTCCTATTTAGAAAGTCACGGTTCATGATTGAAATCCCAAACTCACAATCAGAGATCATGAAATCAAAGAAGAACCAGAAGTAAGCAGCTGGGACGCCTTCGCGTTCTCCTGCTGAGTGTGCTAGACTAGAAAAACACCTGTGAAAGCATCGTGCTTCTTTCCCCTTCATTTCCCAAAGGCACCGTAAGAAAGGCCAACGCTGTGAAAGAAGAAACAGTTGAAGTGACGATCTACAGAATAAAGCAGAAAAGCACGCTTTCCGCGCCAGCCACACTTACCTCCAGCATCAGCTGTACAACGCGTCAAATGTTGTGGGGCAAACAATGATTTCAATTGACTTGAGTCTAGCGAGTTAAGTGGGTGAAAAATTTTCTTCCCTGTATTATGGGAGTTGAAGCGCACTACGTTTCATTTATTCAGACAGTGGAAAACAGGCTTGTCACCTTCATTATCGCTTCTGGTTCATTTTCCTATATTCTTCTCCTTATTGCAATGTTAAAGCTCCAAACAACACAATAAGTGATTCCAGAGAGATGAGTTATTTTAACTGGATTGTGTTCAAGTGTCGTGACTACATTTAATATTAAGTGCCTTTCTAAACCAAGAACCCATTCTCTGTGTGTAACTCTTCTGCAAATTCAAGCTTACATCAATCGATATAAAACAGTGACAATCACAACACAACTTCATGAAACCACCACCAAATGTCATCAAGCAAAAATAGTCTTTATTCAAATTTCATGGAAACAGGAATCACTGTACTTTGCAAGACAGGGAAAAATAAAATAAAAAAATTTAATATAAAACAAGGATATTGTCACAATACCAGAATATGGAACTATACTTCTTTTCCCTATGGATTACTGCAAGTACCTATTTTTTTTTGCCTTTTGACTGTGCTATTCACAACTTTGTAAGTCCAAAAAATATGAAACAAAAGTAGTATGAAACTTAAGACTTAGCACTTCCACTAAATGGCATACATCAAAGGGCATCAATTCAAGGGCAAAGACTGTTGAAGCTGTCATACCTACCTATCGGTCATCACTGCAATCTCATAAACCCACCAAGGTGCAGTGCTCATTCTCTGCAAGGCTCTTCCTAGAAAACAGGGCACTTTCGGTGCTCTGGGAAGAGTTATATTTAAAGAGAACCTCTCTATAGGATAGAAAATGAGCTGAACAGCCTTGCACCAGAGAGCATTGCAGGGAGGGAGCACTGCCGTTAACAATGAGAGACATACCATCGGGGTTGTTAAAAATATACAGCATCGACGAGTTTTCTACTTCAATCACTTGCGCTACAACTACTAAACATGTACAAAAGACTTTTCCAACCGTTCCAAGTGTGGTTGCAGCAAGGTTAGGATCTAGAGCGAGACCTTGACCGTGATCGGGAGTGTGACCTAGAGGCAGACCTAGATCTAGACTTGGACCGGGACCTAGGCTTTGAAACAGATTTAGACCTGGAACGAGAATCTGATTTGACATTTGGTTTTGACTTGGAAATCGACTTAGACCTGGAACGAGAATCGGATTTGACATTTGGTTTTGACTTGGAAATCGACCTAGACCTGGAGCGAGACACCCGACGTGCGGCTGCATCCTCACCCTCACCTTTTGCCTCCTTTTTGTCAGAATCTGATTTTAGATGCTCCTTTTCTTTGGAGGCTGACCTGGACCGCTCGTGGCTGTCCTTCCTTTTCTTCTTGCTACTTGGTTTGCTGTCTCGCTTGCTGCGCCTCTTGCTTTTCTCACTCTTGCTGCGGCTCCTGCTTCTACTTCTGCTGTCATCCCTGCTTCTCTTCCTACTTTTCCTTTTATCCTTACTGTGGCTCCTGCTCCTACTCTCATCCCTGCTCTTGCTCCTGCTTCTGGCCTTGCTAATGCTCTTCTCCCTGTCTTTGCTTCTACTCTTCTCCTCGCTCCGACTCCTCATGCTCTCCCTCGTCTCTCCCCTGTCCTTACTCCCACTCCTGCTCCTACTCTTTTCCTTGCTGCGGCTCCTGCTCTTTGCTTTCTCATCACTGTTATGGAGGGTGCCCTCAGATTTATCTTTACTTTTGTTTCGGGATTTCTCTGCACTCCTGCTGCGGCTCCTACTTTTATCCTCTTTACTTGGAGTCCTGCTTTTCTCTTTTTGGCCTCTGCTACGGCTCTTGCTTCGACTACGGCTCTTGCTTCTGGAACGGGACACAGACCTGAAAGCGCAAAGGCAACAGACAGCTCCACTTTAGTGCGGCTTGGATTTGACTAGCACTTAAATACTGTGCATAATACGGTAGGGAAGAGAAAAACAAACAGTGTTCCTACTGCAAATTTAGGATGATACTTCTCATTTAAGTGCGTAGCCCCCATTTCTTCCAACACAGAGACATACCTGGATCTTGATCTACTCTTGGAGCGACTACTACTGGCACTGCGGCTCCTGCTCTTATGAGAATGTCTGCTTCGAGAGCGAGACCTGGAACAAAATCAATCAGCTTAACGTTAGCACATGCCCACGGAGAGCTTGTGATCCCCTCGTCCCCTGTGGGTAAAACCCCACAGTATTAAAGCACCTTTCAAGCAGCCGAATGGTGAGAGCGTTACACAACAAAGTTACAGAGCACCCTTCTCCCCACTGCTCATCCCCTGCTGCCATATCTGGCCGCGAGCAGGGTTGCTAATCTGGAAGAAAATATGCAACCTTATTTAAGATAAGGAAGCGAGAATCACTTTCCCAATCAAGTCAGAGTTTGCATACAGTGGGACACTAGGATAAAGCTTTGACGTCAGGCTTTGACGTCATAAGCAAGCTGTTCTATGAACAGTAGAAGTTTGCCTGAGTTTTCTTGCAACAAGCTCTACCGCAGAATGGAAAGGGGAAAATACTTGGTGTTGCATGCTGAAGCAGTTCTCTCGATCATACAACGAAAGCAGCAAATCTCTAAGAAACGGGGAACGGGTGGGGGTTTCCAAGCTGAGAAAGAACTGTTAGTCCTGCTGCTTATAGCGGAACACAACGTTCAGAGCCGAAGTGTTAAAAGCACCTTCTGTTTCATTCTGTATGCACAGCTCCACCTGCCACGCAGCCTTCTCCCGCAGGACAGCAAGGGCTATGGACTTGATGTAGTTGGGGAAGAACAGTAGCACGCTGTCGGATGTTTAGCTGGCAGATACACACATTCACCAAGGAAGACACCTCTGAAAAAAGGCCTCGTTTCCCTTGGTTACTTGCAGGTAACTAATACATTCTCAAAAACTAGATTTATTGAGAACTCTGAACACTTCCAAGGCATTTTGGAACCTGCTGTATATTCATGTAATTGCAACTAGATTCAGCCTGAGCTACATTTTAAAGAGACATACCTCGAATGGCTTCGGCTTCTGGAGTAAGAGCGGCGCCGTCTCGATCCAGGTCTGTCTTCCACTAATCTAATCTTTCTGCCATTTACTTCTGTCCCGTCCAGCTTTTCAAGGGCTCTTTTCATGTCAGAATAGGATTTGAACTCAATCACACCTTCATTTTTCCTTCCTTTGTGTGCATCTGCATATGTCACTTCCCCTGCCTGACGCATATAATCCTAGAGGAAGAGGACAGAATAACCATTGCCTCGAATCCAGAGTCAGGCTTCCAGGCTGACCCTGTTCATTTCAACGATGCTCACTTAGCCTCTTCTATTCACACAGATGTCAGCAAGGGTTTTAACCAAACGCCATTTGCAGTGCTAACGCCAAGGTTTCTGAGCAAGCCAAGTAACACGCTATGATTTCACAGAGTTTGTGTGATTAGAACCAAGGTGGCGTTGATAGTTTTGAGCCAAACGATAATTTAAGCTCTTCCATCTCGAGTCAAATATCAAATATGCTCTGGACTATGATAAGTTTCAAATTACAAAAGCGATTAAAGAAATAAAATGCTTGCTCTCTAAATCATGTTTTCAAAAGTAACTTGGGAAAGGTGATAAACTTAAAGGTCGAGTATGAAGAGGCAAGAAGACTACAGGCAAGCAGACTTCCCTTTGTCCTCCACCGAGGGAGCATATCTCATTCTGCTGGAAGAAACCCCCACACAAGTAAAAGCTCAATTCATTTTCCCACTTCATGCTTCCTGGCTTCTCTGTTTCAATTACTAAACACCTCTGTTTATCAGGGAGGGCCATTCTGCCCTGCTTTGAGCAAGCCGTCAGACAGGGCCACCTTTCAGCCGCTGCGGACTTTGGCTGCAATGGAAACGGGGCACAGAACTCCAGTTCAATCTGTTTTCAAGCCAGCTACTCCCATCTTAAGTACACTGAAATGAAAGCTATTGAAAAAAAAGCAATGCATCCACTAGAGGATTAATCATGCCATGCTCTACTTACAATTTTTAATACCAGAAGCAAAGACAAGCTATTGATGGTGTGAAGCATTAACAACAAAAGACATTTGAAGAATCTCAGTACGTACCTGAACTAGTGTTACATATTCAATTACAGACCAGTTTCTACTACGTCAAAGTTTGTTTAGAACAAATTTTACACATCCTTAAAAGAGAACCATAAAAGAAAGCGTTCCTGTAAGAACAAGTGTTTTTAACCATTGCTGCTATGTTTGAGAAGGAAACACTATCTTTTTGCACCTACTATTGAATTCTGCTCCCTGTCCTGCCCCCCATCCATGATGCAGGTAATCACGAGTCAACACTTCACCTCCAGCGTACTCGGAGGTACTGCGGGCTGCAGTGTTACCCAGCACTGCCACTGCTGACAATCACCTTCCACTCCTTTGGACTTAAGAAAATATTAGCTTTTGACAGAGGTTTTGCATGATTGCTCGTTCTGGAAGCATCCTTTGCCTGAAACTCTCTTTAAAACAGCTTTACATAGTGTGGAAATTCTTAACAGAGGCTGTGGAAGAACGATGCTATAATTTCCAAATAGCTCTAGCACCTTACAAGTCGATGAGTAAAATCCAAAGTGACAAGGGCAAGCTCCTCCATCTCTAGTGAATCCTACCACTGGCATGATTAAAGTCTGTTTTGACAGGGCTTAAAGATAGCTAACGCGCATCTGTACGTGATGTTGTGTTAAGGAAAAAAGTTGCTCTCCCACTGTCTAGTGACACCAAGTCTGCAGATGCAACTCCCAATGTTGCATTAATGATTTCATATATGCAAGTACACTTTCATATTGACTTAATGCGTGTATTACTTCCAAAATCTACTTGTATGCATACGAGCACACAGACTCAGTAACAACTTGGAGTCAAGAATACAGGTGTACACCATTTTTCCTTGCTGAAATGGAAGCTAACTTTTTTACCCTTTGTGCTCTTTAATAGAGAGAGGGTAAAGAAAGGGGCCCCATACCTTAAGATCTTGCCAACTGCAGCGGCTTGACAAATTTTCCACAATCAATCTGTATTCTGTACGGGTAGGAGGACCGTACTTATCTCTTCCGCTTCTTCTATAACCATATCCACCTTTAGGAGGTGACAAGCAGACAGCAGTACTTCAACTAGGGAAATGGAGCACTCGCTCTACATCCCGGACGAAAACTGTTCTGCCCCGTATGATCGCAAATGCATTAAAAATTCACCCACCCGCTAGTCTAAATTCAATCCCCCTTGTATAAAATGGTACAAAGATCCAAAGCATTAAAAAAAAAAATCACTACAAGCACATAATTAAAACAATGCACATAATTATAATTACGCTACAATTAACATGCAATTAAAATTAAGCTGTTTTTAAAACAGTTTGAAAGAAGAAACCGAATTAAGCCAGTTTACTAATGTTACTTACATTGCTTAAAGGTTTTCTGAATATCTGATATGAATAAAGCTTTTCAGGCACCTATTTCAGATTAATCTCATCTCTCTCTAACCCTTGGGGTCCTCACCACCCAGGTCTAATGGGAAAAGGTTGCGGTCGTCACATGGCTTCCTTTTTTGGTCAGCCAAGGGCCACAAAGGTCAAAGAGCCACTCATGGAAAGGTAACCCAAGGTCAGCAAATGGAACGGGCAGTCATCTTAGCCTCAAAGGACTCTTTTAATTAAAACATTGAGGTCTTTGTTAAATCTATGTTAAACATCACATTGCAAATAAACCATTCAAATAGTTAAACGAAATGATAATAATAAAAATGGTACAAGAAATTGTGTTTATTCATTTATCAATTAAAATAGTTTAATACAGCAAACAAGTTAATAAATATTCAGATCAACAGTTACATTTACAGTTACAGAACACTATTCACAACTTCATATAATTTTCTTTTAAAATTACTTTTTAAAAAAAAAGAGAAAAAAATATTTTATTTAAAGTAAGTCACAGATACAAATGCATGTTAGTGCTTACTGCGTCCAGAACCGTAACTGCTGTCACGACGTGGGCCTCTGGCATGCTCAACGATCACTCTCTCCCCACAAAGATCTTTACCATTTAGCTCATAAACAGCATCATCTGCATCTCGCAGATCATCAAACTCAACAAAGCCGTACCTAGAGAGAGGGAGAGAAAAAGAATCACTTGGAAGGAACTGAACGCGAAGTATCTGCGCTCCAAACCAACTCAGATCCCACAGCAGGTTTCTGCAGAGCCCGAAGAGGTGCCTCTCCACATGCCGTCCTTCAGAAGAGCTTCGGCTGCAAACTCCCGAAGGCTGCCGAAGGGTTCAAGGTCATGAGTGCTGCCCCCACAAACCCACTAAATACGGTGCTGTGCTGCTTTATTCAATAAATTTGCCAAACAGCAGTGAGGCTGAAATGGCATTTGACAGATATTGCAGTATATATGTTCCACAGATTAGGATTTATCCTGATTTTTGAAGAGCCCTGGGTTCATTCCTGGTTCTATTAGGAAGCGACCTTAATTCCTACACTTCAAACGGAAATATATGTTCATCTCTGTAAACACAAGCAGTCTGTACACCCTGCATGAAGGTCCAACAAGAATTAACATACGAAGGCAGGTTAGGAAAAGGGATTTTGGTTTAGTCAGACTCATTTTACTCAACCGTGGACAGTACCGATGGTTTGGGTAAGAAAAGCGACATGCATCAGGACAGATCTCCCACCCGCTGAGATACTTGCAGCTTCCCATGTACTGCTGAGAAAGTGTTTTATGCCCACTATATTTCCAATATCCTAGCATTTAAGAGAGCATGGTGAGTCCAAACCTTGTTAAAGGACTTGAGAAAATGCAGCAACAGTAACCAGGGACAAATTCCCTGGGCAAACGAAGAGTCCACCCGCGGCCAGGAGGCCTTGTGAGCGCAGCCCAGGGTGCAGGTCCAGAGACAAGCAGACAAAGTTTTCTGTTTGAAAACATCTGCTGCACTAGCCTTGCTCAGGACTTGGAAGTCATGGGCAGATCAAATGCCAGAGGAAGGATACAAATCGAAAAAATATATAATGCTTAATTTCAACATTCAAATGAACATTGTGGCATCGGTTTCCTATTACCAAAAATGAACACAACACAGAGACAAAAGCTTGCAGACCACCGCTGGCCTGAAAAGTTCAAGCCAGTGTTTTCAGTTCAATCTTCAGCGGTGCCACAGGCATCAGTGCCAACGTCAGGCTGCTGCAAGTGCCTAATCGTCGTTGGCTAGAGATCCCAAAAGACCGAGCGTAGGGTTTTTAAATAATTTCTTACAGCTGGTGCTCAGGGACAAGCCCGTGACTTGCTTATGGTTGCAGAACAAACTCACAGCAGCACTGAAGCAAAACTCGAGCCTGCCAATTTCTAACCTGACAAGAGTTAAACACCTATTTAAAAACCAACATCGTGTAGATGCCCATTATCCCAACAGGTCAGGGGAAGAGGACAAAAAGCATCAGAGTGCTGTTTATCGCAGTTCAGAGTCTACCTGCAGTTGAAATCACTTCTCCTTCAGTTACCTGCCAAGACCAGATCCAGGCTCCAGAGTCCCCCAGGCAGTAGCCAAGGATGCTGCAGCCCTGGGCCCAACTGGGAGCTTCTTTTCGGCTGCCACCTCTCCCGCTGCTGTAGGCAAACACATAATCCTGAACTCGGGTCTTAGCAAGGCACAGGGGGAAATTTTTTGTGAGTGCTGGTGTTTTAAATAATCCAGAAGAACAAACCCCTGATACAAAAATGCTGGCCTCCTCTTTTAAGTCACTTCATTTTTAAGCTTTCTCACTAGCCCCCGCACCATGGCTACAGCTTTGCTGCGTAATGGTACCTCTATTAACGAAATACTCAAGAATGACTCCAAACACCACAAATAAGGTGGCTGCTTTAGCATGCCAGGGCTGTAGTTTCAGGGAAGAAACAAGCGTATTGATTTATCGCAATTGAAACAATCACAGTCATTATAAAGCCATTCAAATTGCTACTTTCTTCTCTTCAATTCCAAAAAACAGAGCAAGTGAGCTCAAACATTTAAACGAGATCTCACCCTAAAAGCAATTACTTACAAGGTGAAGCGCCTGCACTTTCAAGACAATAAATGCACAGACATTTGAAGCGGGAATAAGGGAGGAATATCTGAATTCGATCAGACCACAGTATTGAACTTGTTCTTCCCAGAAGTTGCTTGGGGGGCACTCGGTCACCCATATCGCACACCAGACAAAACGCAGCACCTCCAGCAGGTCTTTCTTTAAGGCAAACAAGCAAGCTCATACTAAAAATCATTGCCCACATCACTCAAATGAAAGTAATACTGATCCACCTGTTAAATATGTATAATATTGCACCGTATGATCCAAAATCATGAATAAAACACCTTCAGAAGCACAGTTTTACACCACAGAAAGCCACAACTGCTGACACAGCCTTAACTACAGCAATCTGAACCTGCTGTGATATGACAGCAGTGCAAGTAAATCTTCTTTTAAATGTCTACTATTACTACTTCATATGTGGCATAAAACTACTTACTAAAAATGTCAATGCAATTTACTTCAGCTTATGCGAAGCTACACCATTTTCTGTTCATGTATCAAAAAAGGAAAAAGCTACAGGAGTATGTCCTTATCCCATGCAATTCCAATAGACTGAACCTCCTAAAAGGTGGGGTTTTTTGTTTTTTAAATCCGAAGTGAAAGGAAAAACGTGATTTTCTAAAATTGCTTAATGCCTGAAATAAAAGGCAGACCCTCATCTTTCTCCTCCTTTCAGCTGCTCCCCTTCCCGCATCGCTTTCGAAGCCCGCTGGATCCTCCCAGCCGGCTCTGCACCCGCTCTCCACGCCAGCCCACCAGGACCAGCACGAAGCCCACCTCTACGGTGTTCCCCAGGTGCCAATTTTTTCCCAGTACTCATGATCAGCTGGTGCTGGAGACATGGTGGAGCCCAAAAGCACGAGTCCTGTGTGCCGAGAAGGACCACAAAGCTGCTGTCCCTGCCCTTTGCCAACACAGGCTGGAAATCCATGAAGTTTAGAGGGGCAGCAATCCATCGGAGTTTGACCTGTGGCTGCAGGGTCGATTCAGCAGCTGCTTTGCAGGTTCCCAACGAAAAGGGACCTGCTCAACTCTCGCCCCGCTCTCCTCTCAATGAATCAAGTTGATGGTCTGGCAGCTTTCTGAATTTCATATGACACAATTGCTTCGCATGGACAGATGTGCTCAAAACGAGCTCACTGCACCTCATTGCTCCTCAACCATCTCTGGATGGGCGAGGTGGGGGCAAGCAGGCATCGACACGAGCAGCCACAGAGGAGGAAACACATGAAAAACTGACTCCTGGCTTCAGCTTCGTTTGGAATAAAGAATGCAATGCGTCCAGCCCTAAAAAACGCTCCTGAAAGTTAACTTGTAGGCGGCTCGCGATCCGTTCAGGCTGCTCGCTCAAGCCGTACGCTCACCCACGCCGTAGCCAGGAAGAGGAACGGCAGAGACGCAGGCAGCATGCTGCCTGCCACGTCCTCCTGCTCGGACCAGGCTACAGCCAGGGGCTGGGTGTTATCAAGGAAAAGCATCTTCAGGTCGCTTGAAACAAAACACTCATTTAAATTGAGTCACTGAAGTTACAACCTCAAAAGATATTTGAATTTCAATACTTAAACTACTTAAATGTAAGATTTGGTAGTGATTCTTTTAAGTTTCTGCACTAGTGACAAACATCACTGAGAATCTCTGGTCTTCTAGCACAACTGAACACCTTAAAGGAAAAAGAAATTCAAATCTCACCTTATTCACCCTACTATTAGCAAAGGGAAAAAAAAAAATCCACGAATACACTGGAATTAAAAACCAATTCATTAGCAGGTCACCCTCCTGTCATCTAGGTGTACTGGGTATCATTATGTTGTGACACCAATTTGGTTTTTTTTTTTAATACCAATTGCTCTAATTGAAGTTAACAGGCATTAAATATTTTGGTGGGGATGGTGCAGGGAAATCAAATCACTTCTCTTTGGGCAACAAATAGACTTTGAACCTAGCTAGATGAAAGAATTGAAATTTGAAGCTTTTAGTTTTGATCTGCATTCCTCAATACGTTGGAGAAGTTACATCCCTCTGTCTTGCAGATATTTTTGAGGATGAAGCCGTGAATTCTCGAAAGCTGGTCAGGGTGATGCAGGGCAGGTAAGTACACAGGTAGAACTATTTTTCAAGCTAGCGAGAGACTGCAAATTGGTTTCTCCATCAATGAAAGCTTGCAGCTCTTAAGAGTTATTACAGCTACCTTTTAGCATGTTTTTAGAAGATAAAAGAGCAGACTGAAAAGTCCAATTTTCTGGTCGTGTAATACATACACTACTGCCACGCACAGCTCCAGTTGTCAATGCAGTTCTGAGTAGGAAAAAAGAATATGAAAACTTTGAGCACACAATTAGAAATTGCAACTTGGAACGGAGAATGCTACAGAAACCGGATTTTTATTTTCCATCCTTCTCTCAGGTAAACATTGCTTTAAGCCGTTGAATTGCAAGCTTAAATTACAATTAGCAGCAAGTGAGAGCCAGCTAAGCTTTTAGGACTCCGCTGTATCACATTGCAGTTTCATCCTCTTGCTCAAGCATTTCAGCTTAACTGCTAAAATACCGAATGGCTAATCTCCTGCTGGCTGAGCACCGAAAATAGCCCACAAATTTCCAGAAGAAACTGAAAGAATCTCTCAAGTCAAACACCGTGCAGTAATTTTTAATCATTTGCTAAGCACTACTAAAAATAAGTCGTAGAGAAAGGACCAGAGGGCGAACAAAGCAAACTGCAAGGTATCCCAGCAAAAGCGCAGCACAAGGCTATCCCAAGTAGAGAGACACAAAATCTGATAGTGCAAGTAAATGTTTTGTCAAACTGGAATTTAACTACAAACCAACAACAGCTTGTTGAAAGAACTTCAGAATATACAACTAAAAAAGGAATTAAGTTGTTGAGTTAATCCCAGAAAAACAGCCTGAGCTCTATCTAACCCACAGCTGAAGCAATCCACTACAGAAGCGGCAAACAGCGAGGTGAATGACAACTCAACCTTAAGTTTCCCGTATTCCTTCCGTTATCTGCAACTTTTGAACTCTGTCTCC